AGTATCTTTTCCTGATGAACTGGTGTGGTAAGAGGAGTTGGTTTCCTTAGGTATGTTGGAGGCCTCTGAACATGCACAGGAAGGAGATGGTTACAGATGCTTTCTCAAAGCCAGCTTAAGGAGTTTTATTGGCACTATTGAAAGCACGATCAGCTGCAGCATGGATCAGGATTGAGTGGCCAGAGGAGGAGGATGGTGTCCGACTGTCTTGGCTGCTGGAGGAACTGCTTGTGTGCTGCCTTTCTTAATTGCCATTATTCTTAGACTGTTTTTCCTAAGTGCCCCAGTAACAGATGTAAATGCTCCAACATGATCCTTGTCCAAGAGAGTCACTATTCTCAGTTAATGATTTGGTGATTTCAAGCTAATTAATTAAGAAGAAAATTAATATGATACAAATATTGCTGCACCATACTCTTGATATGACTTTTAGCCCATACCAGTTAGCCTATATTTAGGCTTGGGAAAAGCTCAGAGATCACAGGGTTGAAGAGCATAGGTGTAAGAGTATTGCAGGGGATACTTTTTGTGTTTGTTTACCCTCAAGTCAAAATGATTTTCTTAGTAACTTTTCTCTTGTTTGTTACTGTGTTATTACCCCTATGGTATCAGCATTATGAGTTCAGTGTGAATAAATCTAGAATAGCACATTATAGGAGGCTTTGAAACTTTTTTTTGCCAGATACATTCCTGCAATTCTTTCAGTCGGTCATCATACCATCTCCAGCAGTAGAGGTTTTAAATGGCTTGTGGCCAGTTATAATTCCTTCCGTATTGCAGAAGATTTGCATGGCTTCATGTGTTGAAAGCTGAGTGCGAAGTATTTTTGGGTATTGAAACTCCCTATGTGTCCATTGCATTAACTATTCAATTTCAGGATACTTGGAAGGAAACTGGCAGTGTTGGTTAAAATACATTTCATTTTTAGGAAAATTACAACTGTGGTGGGATCTGTGTACTATTTACAAGTTTTTCTTGCAAGCAAATATTTGTTATCCTTTCAATAAATAGCAGGTGAATAACATTTGAAGTAGTGCCTTCATATTTAAAATCAGCATTTGACTGAAAAATGAAATATGCTGAGATGAATAACTACTGTTTTCTCATGACTCATTATGCACAACGCATGGCAGAGTATTCCATTTCCCAGTGGCAAGATAGATGCATCTTTCTTAATTAAAGCAAGTCTCCTTAGTCTTTGAGAAGCTGAGCTCATTCACTGAGAGTCATTCTGATGCTTCTGCATGGGGTTTTAAGGTATGCATTTTGAAAATTACAGCAAATACTGCAATTCAGAGGACTGATTAGCTATGCTGAGGGTATGAGACCCCAAATTAAGAGAACTCTGGAAATTGCCATTTTACATCTATAAAAGGGAACTTTTAGCTTCCTGTAATAGACTGAGGAGAACTAGCAGATACTACCATACTGGTAGTCACACTCCTTCTGCAAGTGAGTGTTAAGGATCTTGTGGCATTTCTTATGAAAGTTGTATTTTGCCCATTGTCAGTGGACAAAAATATCACCCAATGCCTGATGCTCTACAGTGTGCTTGCTGTCTACATATAAGGTGATTTCTCCTGTCTTTTACGAGTGTTTTTTAGATACATGCATATATGGTGCTTTTACACCATGCGCACCTCCCCCCCCCCAGCATGTAAGGCACAGTTGTAGTTGTTAAATACTGTGCACGTGTGCCTTGGCAGTATGGTGACTGATACTATAAGCATGTTTAATGTGTACATACTCTTGCATAGTAGTATAGCACAAGTAAAGGAGGGTGTCTGAGTGAGACAGAGCTGTCATTCTAACATGTTGAAGTTGCTTGTGTAAATCCCCACTTAGTGAAATGCAAAATTACACCTTTATCCACATATGCTAGTTTAAGATATTGTAATGACTGCTTTCAGTACATTTGAGGGTAATTTGTCATGCCTTTTGCATATCACTTGAAAGGGCAGATCTGGTAGTTGTTCAGTAGCGGCTTCTGCAAACTCTGCAAGTAGCAATGAGGTCATGAATCATGTGAATTCCTTCATATGTTTTGAAAGAAAAGGCCACTTTAGGCAAAACATAAATGCAACCATATGCCCATACCTTGGAGTCTACACTGAAATTTGACAATATTCTGAAGAAGAATGTTTTCTGAAGAAGAAACTCTGTTGCTTTTAGACCAGTAGTATAACAGCAATTAACTTGCTGGTTTTTTCTAGTTAAGTGTAAAAATGTTTATCCAGTACAAAATTGGTAACTAGATTGGTATAAGTAAGATTCTAGTAATTCTTGAAGACAGTGCATGCCTTTGTTTCCTTTTAGAAGAAAGAGGCAGCAGTTAAAACCAGAAGAAATCTTGTTACAGTCTGTTCAATAGGAGAAAAGCATGCATACTGGAACTGTTATCCTTTTGTTAATCTTGGATGCTTCCACACTAATTTAAGAGTTGTACTATTTAGAATTGTTGAACAACTATTTTGTATGAAGAAAAATCTTTACAGCACCTTTTACTTTCCTGTTGAATTAAAAAAAAAAAAAAGTGTGGGCTTTCCCTCGTTAACTTTTCCACAGTGATCTTGGTAGTCAAAGCTGAATGATATGACTTTTGGAAATAATGTGAAAAACTCATTTAAATACCATCTCCCAATATTCTGCATCTCTACAAAGAAGACAGTTTGCAAAAGTTGCATCAGGGGCTAAAAGGAATACGCCCTTTAGCACTTAAAGTCTTCAGCCCTGTATGTGATTACAGCTGTTTGTTTTAACATGATTCCTCAGAAAGATTACCGAGAAATCTGTGGGTTTGTGCACCAGCAGTGATGCTGGTTGTCACGTTCAGAGTTGTTCTGCATGTAGGAAAAGCAGATTGTTTCCTTCAGTCACAAGTATGACCAGTGCAGATAGAACACAGCAAGAAGATCATCTCATCCCTAAGTACCTAAAACACAACCAACAACAGTACTGGATACATAAACGTAGTAGGTAGCAATTGTGATATTTAAAATAGTGAGGGTGTTTCCAAAACAATAATGGCAATAAAACCACTAAAGAAAGTGCAGGAGAGAATTGTCTTCTCTGGAAGGAAACATGCTGATTACTAGAGGGATTTATTGAATGAACTCTGTGCATCGGAATAGGATCATTGCACATGAAAGGAAAAGGTAACTTTAAATCTGTGTTTAAATAGGAGAAGGAAGTAACAGTTCTCTGTTTGGGTGAAGCTAACCAATTGCACTGGGAGCGTAAAATTAGGCAGACAAGAGGAATGGTAGATAAGGGAGGAAGAAGTGAACTGAGAAAGAAAAGTCTAAATTAGAGAAAATGGTGTTGGCAGTACGTGCCAGAGGGTTTGGGAGTTGACAGACTTGGCTCACTTGCCGTTTCGTACGGGAGCGAACAAGCAGCAGGCTGTGAGCTGGGGTAACTGCCGCGCTGGCGGGAAGGAAGGCTTCCTCTGTGTCAGTAAATATGACTCAGAAGAGCCCAGGGAACACCTAACAGCAGCACTCGTGTCGCTGTTAGTCACAGATTAGTTGAAGTACTCATATTGTTCAGTGTGATCTTGTAAACGTGGTAATAGCTGCAACTGCATATTTCAGTGGTACAACTGCCTGCATTAAGTCTGTTCCTGCCTCTTTCAACAAAATACAAGAAGTCTTTCAAAGGAGGGAAGTGGTCGCTTGTTTTGCATGTTTTAGAGAGCATTTTTTTTTTTAAGCACTGAATGTGGCAGGTTATTGCAGCTGATGAAACTAATGGAGCTACACCAAATAATGCTTGTGTAGTTATGCCTTCCACCAGCTGAGAATGTGGCCCTGATACTATTTGGATCACATGGTAGTTACAGGCCAAGGTGCCTTTACTCTGTAAATGTTAAATAAAAGTATAGATACCAAAATGTCTTTAAAAAGAGCTAGCATATACTAGATGTTCCCAGAATCAAAGTATTGCTTTAAAATATAAGTATATCAATGTTTTTAAGTATTTACCTGCAGCATTTGTGTGTGCTACTTGAAAGCAGCCTGCACGTGTACAGGTAGAGAAAGTACATAGTGGTGTCTTTTATTGTGACTGATATTACTATGGATGACCATCCTTAATTTCCTCTTTAAAATGCTATCAACTCAAACTGTTCAACAGACTCATTTATTTAAAGGAGAACTTATGTTACTTTTTTTAATACAGGGGTGCAATCATAAGTACCAGAGTTTTCTTAGTTTTGTATTATTGCTAACTTTACAGGTGCACCAAAGAAAAAAAAAGTATGCGGCAGTAAACGCCCAACTCTTAGGAAGTGCTAAAATGTGTGTCAAGCTATAGATTAAATTGTGCTAGCGTGTTACCGTGTTGTAAATCTCTTTATTCCAGAAAAAGCTAAAGTAAATGTTTCCCACGTAAAAATACTGAGGGGAGATTTATTTGGAACTGATGTAACATACTCTGCCATCTTGCATTGTATCCTTTCTCCCCAAAATCTTGGATCTTGAAAACATTTACAGAAAAGGTTAACAGAAGGGAATTTTACAGGAAAGAGAATGTGTTTTGGAAGAAGAGACACAAAATTGTTGCCTAACTATTCCGGAAGTCTCTTGCTGATTGTTAAAGTGATGTTGAGAAGCATTCCAGCCCGGCTGCAGAGGGCTTCTGAGGCAGTCTTGAGTATGCATGTGTGTACGCACACTCACTCCTGAGAGTGCCAGCCTTGCCTGCCCCCAGGCTGGATGGAGAGGCAGAGCCAGAGCTCTGTACCCCTCCAGAGAGAGGAGGGTGCCCCACTTCTGGGTCCACAGCCCTCCTCTAAGATTCCTCTTGGTTCGGGGGGATTATTGAATTGAGGGGGAAAGAATGATTTTGATGTTAAAAATGAATGCATTGGTTACTGCTTGAAATGTAAAGTTTCTGCCTTAGAATTGGTTATGGTCTTAGTCATGTTAATACACTGAAGAAATTAAACTCATAACTTCTAAATAATTTTTTTGATCCTAAATATGTGTTTATTATTGCAGGCAAGAAGACAGCAAGACCCTAGTCCTGGATCTAACCTAGGAAGTGGCGATGATCTCAAACTACGTTAATCAACAGCAGCAGGCGTACCATGGGTCTGCACACATGCATTGCTTCTACTTGGCAAAGGATTTAATAAAAGACCAGAAACTGTGATAACTGGGTATACTATGGTCTGTTTCCTGACCTGCGGCAGTCAAAATCACCATGAACTGCCATGGTTTGCACTATGTTTATGTTACAATACCTGCATTTCCCATTTTAAGCATGTAGCCAGTGGCAATTTGAAATTTTGTTTTTCTATGCAAACTTATTTTTGTTGGCACTATTTTAGTGAAATGGAAACTTATGCAGCTATAAAACCATTTTTCTCAACTGTAATAAAAATTGTCACTTAAAAATAGGTCAAGATATTACAGATTTAAAACTTCTTTTATTGTTTTTGGTTTTTTTGGTTTTTTTGTAAACTGCTGGAAGCCAATGCATTCCAAGCTTAATTTTTTTAATATGGGCTTTTGGAATTTTGATTGTCCTTATTGTGCTCCTGCTTTGTTTTAGATACGCATTCTTATCTTTCTTTCCGTTTTCTTTTTTCTAAATTTGCAAGACCTTCTTAAAACTGCTGACATTATTTTGCATTATTTCCAAGCTAAACCCAGTGAATCAGAGCTGTTGGAATCAGTTTTCAAACTTTGTGGGTTTGTAAATGTTACAGTTGCAGTATTCTTTTAACTGCTAACAATTCATTGGTTCCACTTTTTAAATGATAAAATACATATTTTCATGCATTTTAATGCATTCTGCCCCAGTATCTCTTAGGGTTTATTCTGTATCAAGTGAGTTTGGGTGGTTATTATACCCCTGTATATAGTACTTTACTGAAACTCATAGGAAGTCGCAGGCTGGCTTCTGTTTTATTCAGGGATTTTTTTTAAATAGTTCTTAAAAGGGATACTGCAACTCTACAATCAGATTCAACAGCATGTTAAACTGGGAACAGAAGTGATCAGCTGCCAAGGTGATATGTATTAAATCATGTTTAAGATAGCTGCTTTAAGTATATTTTATATCTTAGGCTTTTTGTAAAGTTGTGCTGAATGGTGAAAAGTTGAGATGAGGTTGTGTGCAGAAAATCTCATACCGTGCATAGGACACTTCTATTAAATCTTATGCAAATTAAGACTACATTGCAGTATATATTGCATTTTCTAACAGGGTAAGATTTGGGATGAGTTAATCTGTGTGAATTAATCTTATTTGGGGTGATGGTGAATGGGCTTGTTCCAAATTTTTCATTGCATCCGATATTTGAAGATGATTGATAGGAAATGTGATGTCATTTGGCTTTGTTAAAATGTGGTGCTTCCTGTACAGCCTGATGAATAAAAATGTCAGTTAAATACCTTTTTAAAATAGGTGATCTGACTTCAGTGTATTAAGAATTATTTTGAAGGTAGAAACTCTGTATGGTTAGAACAGTTAAATCTTTATTAAATTCTATAATTAAGATAATTACATTCCTCATTAATGGCAAAACAATTGATGCAAAAGAGGTCTTGCAAAAATGTAAGCAGATGTCAATGTGAAGGAGAATCTTTGTATGTTAATAATATGAATATTTAACATTCACTTAAAAATGTCAATAACTGTAAACTGTGAGAATGTCATCAAATAGAAATATTTTGATACTTCAATTTAAATGTGATTCACCTGAAAGATAACCTTTTTCACTCTGTGACCACGTATTCTTCTTGCTCTTCTTCCCCCAAAGAAATAATTTTTCTAAAGTGTTTCTGCAATGAGTTATTTAGGGGACACACGCATGCATCCGCACGCATCCCTAGCCTTGGATCTTCTCTGCCATCTGTGTATTTTTGATGGAATAGTCTGAAGATTTATTTTAAAAGGTTTTCCTAATGTTTCAGACAGTGGTTTTAAACCATAAGTACACAGGAAATTACGCTATCAGATATTAACGTTGCTATCTTTGTGTAAATACTGAACTTTCCCTATCATCATATAGCATTCTGCTGCTTTCGATATCTTAATGCTGGCATTAAGATCACAAGCCCTTACCCTCTGCTGGTTAGTGCAGACTTTTTAAAGTGCATTTTAAGTTATTGATGCAATTTGATATTTTTCATAATTTCTATTTAAACTGAAGTTGCATCATCTTTCTTGAATTCATCTCCTGTAAGAGTTGCCTTAAGCTACAGGATTGCTTTTGCTACTTTTTGTGTTGTATGTTTAACTTTCATAATAAACTTATGTGTAGTGAAAACAAGTTGCTGTAAACTTATTTCTGACATCCTGGTAGTCCGCACCAACATATTACGTGTTTATGGGGTAACTTTCCAACCTCCTGCCAGTGCAAGGCTGCCTTGATGTCCGTGGTTAAAGCAATAGTGACATCCAGTGGTCACTTAACTAACCTGAACACCCCCCTTCAGCCTCCCACCGTGTTTAGGGACCGTCTGGGGGAGGCAATCATGGCTCTCTCAAAACCTTTGATATAACGGCATACATGGGGGAAAATGTGGGGTTTGCCACCCTAAAACTCCTGTGGGTTTTTATAAATGACATGCCCTGCTTAAATCTGAAAGCTTATATCTACTTAAGTAACCAGAAGAAATTTTCTCTCGTTGGGTTGTAACAGTTGAGCGTTCTTTATGGGCACATTTTTATAGCAGCCTTTACAAACCTTGCTAATTGTGCTGCTTTGGATGAGGAGGAAAACAAGGTAGTTTGCACGTTGAAATTGAGGAAATGGGGAAACGTGGTAAAGTACTGCGGAGAAAATATGAATGTTGCATGCTACAGCTGAAAACCTCTTCCAAAGCTGCTAAAATTTTAGGTGGTATAACTTCAAATATCTAACATTGAATGACAATGGTATGTACCAAAATCATGTAGAGGATTGCTTTCTTAGTAACTTGAGACCTGCACTCTGCTTTTGGAAGTGCTTACATGCAAAGGGACATAGTAAACCTTATTTCATACTTCAAAAATCTGACTGTAAACAGATCGGAGTGCCCCTAATAAAAATGGCATTGACTGTGACCTGTGGTTCTTCCTAAGATACTCTAATTTGGAAGAGAGGTGGCTTTTAAAACAGACACGAATGACAAATTGTGTTAGTGTGAGTTCCTGACAGCAAACAGTGTCTTTGTTAGCTACTGCAGGCTCTGCCATCAAAGCTGCTCATTTTCAATGGCATCTTTAAAGAGCAGTTAGTAAAGCCATTCCATAACTCACTGGTTTACCTGCAGGTTCATGGAATGATTCACTTTTCTGCCCAGGGTGTATCACAAGTGGATGAGTACCTTCTTTGTAAAGCCTTTTCTTGAGTGGAGGCATCCGAAGGACAGGGGCACTTTGTCCCCCGACTCCTCTTACACCGACTTTGCCTCTCAGGTGCATGAATAGCGCAGGGAATCTGAAAAGCTTCCTTCATGAGGCACCTGCAGCAGAAGAGGATTTTTGAAACATTACAGTCCTTCCCCTCAATTACCATGACTTGAGAATGGCTGTGTTCAATTTGGCAGTGAAAGACCACTGGAAACGCTGGAGCTTATTGGAATGGGGAAGGTTGTTGGTGACCTGGAGCTCAACTGGAGCAGGTGAGGTATGGTCACTTCTGGCTTGCTTTTTTAACCTCTTGCGGTTAACACAGCCTCTTTCTAACCTGAGAGAATCCAGGGTATTAACTGTTTAGTCCATTTTGCTGAAGTTTTCAGAACCTGAACGAGCGGGTTTCCTAGTCCCTCCTGAAGGAAATGGCAGCCATCAGCTGTCCTGGTCTGGGCTCCTGGTCCCCCTTTGGAAAGCAGGAAACTATGAAAACAAAACTGTGGGTGAAAACAGCGGCTTTTTTATTCTTGCAGATCTATGGTGTTTTGTCTAATAATAAGCCTTGTTCAGGTAAGGGCTGGGAAGTTAAATGAAGGAGATGTGGTTTTGGAGAACTCCGAAATTGCATGGCCTGACAGGATCTTGGCAGGCCTTCTGTATTTTTTTTTTGTCCACCATTAGTTCAGTCCACTCTATTACAGATGTATTTAGGAATCCATCCTGTCTGCATAAAAAGAGGACCAATTTCTGTAAAGTTACATTATTTTGTTAGTACATTTCCAATGCAAATAAGAGGATGACAAAAATGGCTTCAAGGATGAGAATTACAGTGAGAAGTTGCAGCAGAGCGAACATTTGCATAGGCAACATTTCTCCTAACTCATTTGCTTGACATCCTGTCTTCACACTGCCACAAAATGTAAATCCCAGTCCATGCATATTCATCAGCTGCTGTATGGCTCGGAGCTGCTCAGGGTTTAAGTAACTTTATTAAATAGCTTTCTCAATTACAGGTTGAGATAAGTGAATTTCCAGAATTGCCTTGGGCTCATTTCTTAAAGCTCAGGAGCAAGGGGAGAAAAAAGTAACGCAGCAGAGCGGAGTGCTGCCTCGGCCTCTGCCATCACCCTGCAGTGGGTGGCTGTGGAAAAATGGGGGGCCTGCAGGAGGGGAAGAAGTGGGAAATGGGAATGTTTCTTGCTCAGCCATATGCTTCTTACTTGGCCTGGTCCACAGTTTATCACAGCTGATGAGACTTCTGCTAAGTCTTTGTTGCTCCCCACAACTCTTCTGATGAGTAACTCGGTGTTTTCCAGCCTGTTAGACTTGTCAAGGGTGTCTTGGGGGACGTGGGTTTTCTTGGTGCTCTGCTCTCCCTTGTTCCACGAGCTGTTTATTCTGTTTGTCACAGGAACTGGTGGCTTTATCACCTTCCACCCTTTGCAGTCCTCTCTCTTCCCCATAGCAGGTGATGGGTTAGCTTGAAAACAGAAAAACCACCTAGAGCTGGAGAAAAGTTTGCACCTGAAAGCTCCCATCTTTTCTAGTTGTTATCCGCTGGTTTGCTGAAAGAGACTGTCCCTATGAGTCTTGCCTGCTTGCATCCCCCAACCTTTTTAGATTTTGCTATTCATACTGGGCAAAAACCCAGCATATATTATAGGTATAGAGAAACGAGCAGTGTAAGAGCACTAAAACTTTTTGGCTGCTGGATGCACTTGGCCTTGATAGCTTCTTATGTGAATACGCTGTTAGCAAAGCACATGGCTGGGGTGATGGTACTGGCGTGGGGATATTTCGGGGGTATTTCAGGGCTTTGGCCCTTTGCAGCAGTGATGCAGTTCGTGGCTCTTCAGGCCACGCTCCTTGGGGAGATCTCGGACGTGAAGAGCTGAGGTCTGCACGGCGGGAAGTCAGTCAGTTCGTGGAAGGAGCTGTGCGAAGGTGGATTCAACCGCAGAGGTTGGGCGGGAAGGCTTTGCCGTAGGGAAGTGATCAGGTACCTGAGCCCATCAGGTTGGAAGAGAAAAAGGGGGTGGGTGGGAGGGAAGGGGGGACCTGCTGGGGCAGGCATTACTGACACCGACTGTTTCCTTCAAGTCTAGCGGGCACGGTTGTGCCTGCCCTCGCTTTAGGTTGCCCAAAATGGTTGTGGCTCTTGGCTTGAGTCTTGAGCGGGAGAAGGGACATGCGGTACTGAGAGCTTGTAATTAGTGCAGCAGTTCTGTGTGCCAATTAGTGGATTTGTTCCACAGATTTAGTGAGAGAAGCAGGAGGGGTATCCCCATGTACAAGCAAGGATGCCGGCGTCTGAAGCCCCTGCATCCTGCGTGAGCCTGCTTTCTGGCTTGCCTGCCTTCAGCTGGAGAACGATCTCAAGTCCCTGTCTTCTGCTGCGGCGGCATTGCAGAGCTGTATTTGGGTCTTGTTTGTAATCATATATCATACCATAAAGCCTTGGAGGAGGCTGGCCCGAGAGGTGAGCGGTGCTCGCCCTGGGAACTGGTTCCCACCAGACAGCTGAGCTGCTGCTTAGGCAAACGCAGCTGGCCGGGGACAGCGTCCCTGCTCGAAGGCTCCTTGCTGCCCAAGTTCGTCTGGGGTGGTTGGGCATTCAGGGCCATTCGGTGGCCAGAAGTGTTGAATGAATTGCCAAGGCTCTTTCCTGGCTTCTTCGGTTGACTTGATCATTTTAACGGTGCAATACCTGGTTCCCATTTCATACAGTCTTGGTGCAGCAGGCTGCTGTTCTCGGCCCCTGAAGGTGGCAGGGCAGGAGAGGTTGGTTGCAGCTTGATGTACGGCTGCGGGTTTCTCTTTTGTGCATTGTGCTTTCTTTTGCAGTACGTGCCAATGCCTCTTCTAAAATCCTGCCTGTCTTGATGTTGAAACTGCCCCCAAACAAGGGCCTTGGTCTGCATCTCCGCTGCTGCGGCAGTAATCCTCTCCCATAGCAAGCTATTTCTCTGCAACCCCCGTTTCTGAGCACACGGAGCTGCACGGAGGGCGTGATGTCCTGGT